ACTCGTCTGTCCATACATGCCTACCTTCTCTTGTCTTGGTTTCAGTAGTTATCGAAATCTCCGCACTCCATAAGTTTTTGGCCAAGTTTTATAGGCCACAATTTGCCTACCCCACCCACACTCACAAAACAAAACAAAGAGAACCCCAAAAAAGTTAACAAGAACACAACTGTGGTCACATGTAAATGAAACAGTAAGCTTAACTCAGCTGACAAGTTACTCTGCCAGATCTATCAGATCTATCCTTTCCCTCATATCATTGCCTATAAATAATGGAGCTTCGTTGGCCACTTAGGCTTAAAGCAGTATAGGAGAGAGACGCCAAAATAAGATGGAACATATTGAGGAGAAAGGCAGCCATGCTGCAAGGAAAAAGGGAGGCTTGGTCACTATGCCATTCATCTTTGGTAAGAGCTAATAAATCTTGTTGTTTCAAATTTTCGAGTCATACTTGAGTGTAGCCAAGTTAGCTAGAGTAGTGTGCTCATCTTTTTACACGTAAATTCGAATTTTCTTTCCATACTTATGATGAAATTAGCATAGATTATCATGTCGTTGTTCAATTCTTATTATGTATCTCTTTATTTATTTGGTTTTTTGTTTTGGGGATTTTAATTATTGTTGTTGTTGGCTTTGTGTGTGTGTGTGTAGCTAATGAGATTTGTGAGAAGTTGGCTGTGGTGGGATTCGGTGCAAATATGATAAGCTACTTGACATCGCAGCTTCATATGCCCTTAACAAAAGCAGCCAACACCCTCACCAACGTTGGTGGCACTGCAAGCTTGACCCCCTTGCTTGGCGCCTTCATTGCTGATGCCTACGTTGGCCGCTTCTGGACTATCACTGTTGCTTCCATTATATACCAGATTGTAATCTCTCTCTCTCTCTCTCTAACTAGTTTTCTATATATATTATTAACACACATGATAAAGATTATGCGCTTGTAAATTTACATCTCAATTGATTAAACACCTTAAGATTTGCAACTCATTGATTACTCGTGCACCCAAAGTTATGTGGGTTTGCTCACCCAATATCTATTGTATGAAAAATATTAAGATTCTTATCAACTTCATCGTCACAAGATTAATAGTTATCATCGAGCCATTTTTTATTCAAAAATTATTAATTAGGCCGACTTTCTAACCATTCTTTCGTGGTGGGTTTTCCAAAAAAAAAAGAAAGAAGTAGAATTTGTCACAAGTGGACGTATTTAATTTAAAATTATTAAAAGCATTGTCCAATATGATTGATTGAGTTGAATTTTTTAATTCTCTGTCACAATCAAGCTCTCAGAGTATTGATAAATTACCTTGTTAATTTTATTTGTTTATTAATTAAATACTAATTATAATTAACTTTTGTATTTGTACAATTAATCAATGAACCAGGGAATGATTTGCTTAACAGTATCAGCAGTACTTCCACAACTGAGACCTCCCCCATGCAACCACGGCCAAGTGTGCGAAGAAGCCGACGGGGGGCAGCTAGCAATTCTGTATGTCTCCCTCCTACTAGGAGCACTCGGGTCGGGTGGAATCCGACCCTGCGTGGTGTCATTCGGGGCAGATCAGTTCGACGAGAATGACGAAAAACAAACCACCAAGACGTGGAACTACTTCAACTGGTACTATTTTGCGATGGGGGCATCAATACTATTGGCTGTCACGGTGCTTGTGTATATTCAAGACAACATTGGATGGGGTTGGGGACTTGGAATTCCAACTGTAGCCATGTTTCTCTCAGTTGTTGCGTTTTTGATCGGGTACCATCTTTACCGGCACTTGGATCCGGCGGGGAGTCCGTTTACCCGGTTGATACAAGTGGCGGTGGCTGCCTACAAGAAGAGAAAGCTGTCTATGGTGTCTGATCCTAGAATGTTGTATCAGAATGATGAACTCGACGGTCCTATTTCATTGGGTGGAAAGCTTCTTCACACTAAGCATATGAAGTAACTCTCTCTCTTTCTCTCTCTCTCTCTCTCTCTCTCTCTCTCTCCCTCTCTCTCTCCCTCTCATGTTGCATGTGTATTGTGGCTCTAAACCACTAATTAAGTTGATTTTTGTCAAAATGTTGGCCCTAATTCATCATTTAACAACATAAACTCAATAATATAATTATATATACACAGCACTATCGTATCACGTTTTGCAGTAAGAAAATAAGATAATGCATGAAACTATCACATGAACTATTTTCACTATATATGACCTCTCATATATTTCATTATTTCTCTGTCTTTTGCTATATAATATGAGAATCTTATACGATAAAATACATGGTTTCTACGAAAATCCCTAATCCTATTTCCACTACAATAAAATAGGATTCCTGCCAAGAAAAGTCTCGATTATACACATATACATATGTTAAGTCTAGAAGATGAACATAATTATCAGGGTTAGGTGGAAACAGGTTGCAGGTAATGACTAGGTCGTTTTGTCCATGCACTGCTCATGTTTTGGATGTAGGGACCACAATCCCTTGACCTTTCATGGATGAGCTGCACCACGTACTTCTGTTTCTGTCACTGCTATGCAACAAAAATCTCACGTCCTCTGCTCTATTAGCAGAGACTCAGAGTCATCCCCACCTCCAGTCCATAGCGACCCAACAAATATATAGAAAGGAAGAACATGCGACCTAGTCACTTTTTGAATTTCCACAACGTGGCTGCACTTAGCTTCACATGTGTGCGAGTCTAAATCATTGGTTAACTGATACAGACAGTTTAGGTTTAATAAAATTCATATCACGATAATTGGACGGTTAAGGTTTCATTAAATTGATTGTTTGTATGATATAAGCGTCTTATCTTGATAGACTGTTTAACAATTTAACAACGTTACATATGGTGAAATAATGCAGATTTCTTGACAAGGCAGCGATCGTAACGGAGGAGGACAATCTCAAAGCACCAAACCTATGGAGGATCAACACCGTTCATCGCGTCGAGGAACTGAAATCAATAATCAGAATGGGACCTATATGGGGATCAGGAATACTCCTCATCACAGCCTATGCCCAGCAAAGCACATTCTCACTCAACCAAGCCAAAACCATGGACAGGCACCTCACAAAGTCCTTTGAAATCCCTGCAGGCTCCATGTCAGTCTTCACCATAGTGACCATGCTCACCACGATCGCCTTGTACGACCGCATCTTCATTAAGGTGGCTAGAAAGTTCACCGGGCTAGACCGGGGAATAACATTCCTCCACAGAATGGGAATAGGGTTTGTCATTTCGGTATTCGCCACATTGGTCGCCGGATTTGTCGAAGTGAAGCGAAAAAAGGCAGCTTTCGCACACGGGTTGGTCGATCATCCTCATGATATAATCCCCATTTCAGTGTTTTGGTTAGTTCCTCAGTATGCCCTTCATGGGATGGCTGAAGCATTCATGTCAATCGGGCACCTCGAGTTTTTCTATGATCAGGCGCCGGAGAGTATGAGAAGCACTGCTGCCGCGCTGTTTTGGACCTCCATCTCGGCCGGAAACTACGTGAGCACTCTTTTGGTGTCACTGGTGCACAAGTTTAGTGCTGGCCCTAATGGATCCAACTGGCTGCCGGACAATAATTTGAACAAAGGGAGGTTGGAGTACTTCTACTGGTTAATCACGTTACTACAAGTTGTTAATCTTATTTACTATTTATTTTGTGCCAAAATGTATACGTTTAAGCCGATTCAGGTCGTAAAGAAAGAAGGTGCTGAGTCCGGAGAAAATCAAGTGGAGCTTGCCAATAAGGCTTAATTGGCTTAGTATCAGTTAATTAATTAAATTAGTCATTAGTCAGAGTTAATATAGCTATTAAGAACTAGCTGCTGGTACATTAGAGTGTAGAAATGAGAAGAATATCTACTTTGGATTAATAAATTCATAAATGAAACATCCAGTTTGTATGATCTTTATATTAAGATCTTGGAAGCAGATGAATCTGAACAATGTGCTTCCTACTCTTCTCCACTAAACCAAGACCTCTAAATTTTTCTGTTCACAAAATATCAACTATATATACATATGTACATGATGTAATTGTCGCACTGAAAGGAAAACTAAATTATTATATGGTCTATCATATATCATAAAATGGAAATATGAAATCACGTATATTGTGTCGGTACTACTAAAAAATAAAATTTTATTTACCAAATAATAATACAGTATTTTATTGATTTAAATACGAGTCGACTTTAAACTGTAGGAAAGTACATTGGGCTGTATCTTCAATTAGTTCTTTTTGGTCAATGTATCTTTAAGTTCAATTTACTTCAAACAATACAAAAAAAACATAGGAAATAACATATGGGCTGGATTCAACTTTAGTTGGACTTAACAGGGCCTTGAACCAAGCCCGTTTTAAAATTGGACCTGACTTCAAGATGTAAAACAACTACCATGGCCCAATGTAATAACCGTCTAGAAAGCGAAAACAAAGACGAACGAGAGATTGACTTTTCTCCATTTGGACTTTTGACCTTTGACGTGCAAAAGTGTTTTTTTTTTCTCCGTTTTCTAATCAATATTTATAATTATTTACAAAAGCGGTTGTGTTTTACGCAAGAGAATCATCTCCGGATCCATTTTGTGGAGATTGTAGGAATCCTTATATTTTAAGGAAAACTAATGAAAAAGATTTAAAAACTTTTGAGTTTTAATGATAAGGATAAAATAAAGGTAAAGTGAATAGTATCAGGTTTGACTTTTTAGTGTAAAAATATGATTTTTCGTTAAAGTGAACAATACCGTGGGCTTTTCGTTAAAACTTCCTATATTTTAACTATTGATCGTACATTGTGTGATTAATTTCGTCAGATACTATTAGTATTTAATTTTAAATAAAAAAAAATTCAATAATTTCTGACTGCACAATGTATGATGAGTAATTAAGATATGAATCCACAATTTGAATCTGGAAATCCGTTTTTTAACTTAAAAGTATGGCAGGCCGCGTCCATAGCGAAGCTTCGAACGGTCAAACCCGACAGCCTTACGTTCCTTCTCAAACACAAATTACACAACCAAAAACAAAAGCAACAAAATCAAGATTGTTCAACAAAACACGGTTTTGTCTCGTTTTTAGTTTGATATTACGGTGCGGGGAGGAGGTGTCTGTTTGTGCATGACTTTAACGGCGAAGCACGGCGGCGGAACCAGAGCCATGGACGGTATCGCAATGGCGGAGTCGACGTCGACGCCTCCTCTAACGGAAATCGTCGAGGCCTTCGAGGAGTTGGGCAAGATCCTCCAATCCCATTCCCATAATTCCCAACGAAAACAACACCAAACGTTGCGTTTGGATACATTCTCCCAGGCTTCCACCCTCGTCTCCATCCTCTTCAGTTGCCTTGGCCTCGCCTTCAAGTTCGCCGAGATGGAGTACGTCTCCAAGGTTCCTTTCTTCCTTCCCACCACAAACCCTAATTCTCATTTTCTTTAATTTTCTTGTATTTGTTTGATTGTTGCTTCTTTTTTTTTGTGGGATTTCGATTGTTCATTTTTTGTTAAATGTATGATTTGGTTTGTTGGTGAGATCTTCGTGAAATTAATCAACGTGAAAATGTGACTTAGTCTTGTTTAAAAATGTTTTTAAAATGACCGAAACTCTTTTGGCGAAAATGTTGTTAAAACCAATCATCAGTAAAAATTCAAGCGGATGTTAAAAAAAGTACTTTATCTAATGCTTCTTCCAAAATCAATTTCACGAAAAATGTTTTTAGTTGCGCATCCAAACGAGAGCTTTAACATACCTAAATATAGTGTGCCCCTAAAAGTATTGTCATATCTTGGAGATCTCACTCTGGTTGGTTGCAATCGCTTCAGTTAGCCTGCCTCTTCCTGCAGGATCTCACACTGTGCTTGCTTGCATTCAGGTTAAAGATCTTGTGGAGGCGTCACGGACTTACGACACATTAGAAAGCCTTATAGATTATGATGTTGCTAAGGGCACGGTGAAATCCCCCGGAAGCCATTCCCGTAATCTGCGCCGTGTCCGGCAGGGTCTCGACCTCATCAGAGCTCTATTCGAACAATTCTTGTCAACCGAGTATGTTCAAACTTATGTTGTGCAAACTGCAGTTGTGCTTCATTCTGCAGATTTTCGGTTTTAGACATTCTTCCTTCTTTTGCCTTTCAGTGACTACTCTTTGAGGGAAGCAGCTTCAACAGCTTATGCCAAAGTGTGTGCGCCATACCACAGTTGGGCAATCAGGACAGCGGTTGCTGCCGGAATGTATGCTCTTCCGTCGAGGGATCAACTGCTGGTGAATCTCGAAGAGACCCGTAAGTCTAAAAGCTTTTCTCCGTCCAGAAACAATGATCTCCAGTTTTGCATGCTGTTTATTTCTAAAATGCAATCAATTTCATTCCAGATCAGTCAGCAGAGAAGAAGATGAAAAGGTACATCCAAGCGTCGCGTCCGGTGATCGAGTACATCGACAGGCTATACCTTTCTAAGAACATCACCTTGGACTGGTGACTTCAGTCTTCATCTATCTCAGTAGGCGTCTACGTTAACGTATGGTTCGTTACGATTACTTCTTCGCTAATACGGGTCTGTACATAAACGTTATTTACCTTGCTACAAGAGAACTATATGTTTATAGGAGGCTATTAATTAGACTGCAATATCAGAAGTTTATAACTGCTAGAGATGGTGAATATTATTACACAGCGACGGGTTTGTACTTTCTACCCAAGCAATCCCCTCACCGAGTTCTATCAAACTATTTAAAAGTTACTATTTCCCTGTTTCAAAATTTTCTCAACAGTGACTGATGAAGCAATGCAAATTCTTAAAATTTCAAAACAAAATGAAGTAAACACAAGCAGAAAATGCTAGAAATTACTGCAAGAGCGTGTTCCTTAGTTGGGCATCCCGTTCGATAGACACACCTTTCCTTTGTCACTGAGGGTCAAAAACATTAATCCTTGGGAGTCCTGAAACACCAACTACAATGTGAGGCTCTCTGGGTTCTCAACAATCTTTGCAAATGTCTTGAGGAAGGCAGCCAAATCAGCACCATAAACAATCCGGTGATCAGCAGTTACATTCACCTGTAGAAAGAACCATATTCCAACTCAATTAGGTTACCTTTTGTACAAATTTCAGCAGGTTCAGCGAAATTGTGTTCAACTAACAAATTGATAGAGCGCAAAAAGAAAAATATACGGTATAGAGGAACCTAGATGTTAAATCCAATCAATAATGTAACATATTGATGTTTCTGGAAATAGATCAACTACAAAGCAAGGGTTGTTCCCCTCCTTTCACAGAGAGGTTTATAAATATAAGATTGTTTCCTTCCTCTTCCGACAAGATTAATTGACAGTTGCTTTCAGTAAAGCATGTCACATGCCAATTTATACAAGTTTGATGTACTGGTGGAAGTATTCTTTTGAGTTGTGTATAAGTTCGTTTAACAGACTCATCCCTTGTATACGTGTGAAACTTAACTTATAACCTTGTAAAGTACGAGAAACAACATCAACAAAATAGTATACATTACGGAGAAAACGCAAAGACACTCACCAGCATTTTACTTTTTACACTGAAGAATCCATCTGTATCAGCGACAACAGTTGGCTTTGAAGCTCCAACAGCCATGATAGCCCCCTGATTGTCAATCAAAACTTCAGCAAGCAGCTAAAAAATCATAAAAAATAGAACAATCCTATCGATTCATGAAGACAAAAAATTATCGTATTAAAGGATCAAAACTCACCTGCCCTGGTGGAAGAATAGCATCAAACCTGTCCACTCCAAACATGCCCAAATTGGACAAGGTGAAAGTTCCTACAAAGAGTTCAATATAACTTAATGAGTATAAAACGAAAGCAAGTAGGTAAGAACTGACAGAGAGTTTGTAAGTAAAAACCTGTTGTGTATTCGTGGGGCTGAAGTTGCTTTGAACGGGCCTTCTCCACTAACTCTTTCCATTTCTGGGATAGCAAATACAAATCCAACTGCACAAACACATACAATTCAACCATCGATAATCAGAACACAAACTACTAAGAACAGAAGCACTAAATGTTGAAGACGAAGGTTCCGCTACTAATTGCATCGAGGCCTTTAGATAAAACCCCAAACCGACTAAACAAATGGTTAAGTTGCGGACAGTATTGGTGTTGATTAGTAATGGTTCATCAACCACCTTCGAAATCTTAACACTACAATACCAACAAATAATATATTATTCACAAGTAACAGACCTTATCAGCATCCTGAAGAACAGGGGTTATGAGTCCTCCATTGATTGCCACAGCAACAGCAATGTTTATGCTGCTGTTATACGAAAAAGCTCTTCCCGTCTTTGCAGCTCGCATTCACAACCGGGTGCTGAGCAAGTGCCATAGCAGCAGCCTTGGCCAACAATGCAGTCATTGTCACACCCTTTGGTTTCACCTGTTGGACAATTTCAATGAATTCACCCCAAAATTCCAGAAATTCAAACACCAATCAAACCCAAATGACATTGCAAACCAACAATCCAATTAATCCAAACACTATCCACAATGTACCTTCTCATAAAGGGCGTCGATGGCGTCACTGTTAATCGGGTAGCCGACCCGGAAAGTCGGCACCGAGAGACTTTCGACCATGTTCTTCGAAACAGCAACCTGCATCGTGGTAAATGGCACCACGGTTGAGCCGGGAAGCAGAGGCGGGGCTGCAGCAGAAGGCTTGGGTGGAGCAGCGGCCACCGGAGTGGGCTCGGCGGCGACGGGTTTAGCAGGCTTTACAATTCCGGCGGCTGCCTCCACGTCAGCAGGCGTAATTCGGCCAAATGGGCCGGTGCCCACCACGGAGGCAATTTCGACCTTGTGCTGCTTGGCTAGCTTCTTAGCAAAAGGAGTGGCCACGCCCTTTTTGGCAGTGTAAGTAGGAGTAGCAGATGGAGCAGGCTGGGCAATTGCAGGGGCGGGAGTGGCGGTAGCAGGAGGAGGCGTGGGCGTAACAGCTGGGGATGAAGAAGACGATGTGGATTTGGCCTTTTCCCTGGCCTCGGCGACTTCCTCTTCGGTCTCAGCGAGAAGCCCGATGGCGGCGCCGACGGGAGCGGTCTCGCCTTCCCCGACGACGATTGCGGCGAGAATCCCGTCGTAGAATGTCTCTACGTCCATGTCGGCTTTGTCAGACTCGACGACAACGACGCTCTCGCCTTTGGAGAGGACGTCGCCCTCGGATTTGACCCAGGAGACGATCTTTCCCTCGGTCATAGTGGAGCTGAGAGCAGGCATGAAGATCTCCCTGATCTTGGATTGGACGGTGAGGGTGCGGCGGCGAGGAATGGAGCGGAATGCAGTGGAAGAGGAGGAGGAGGAGGGGGAGGGGCGCCATGGGAGAGCTGTGGAGATGGAGGAGGAGAAGGAAATGGTGGTCTTGGAGAGGAAAGGAGACGACGCCATTGGAATGGATTGGGAGAGAGAGAGAGAAAGAGAGAATTGAATTGGGAGATAAATGGAATGAGAAGGGAACGGAGAGAAAGTTGATAGAAAAAGAGAGGGGCGGAGAAGACGAGGGAGAGAGTTGGTTGGAGGCTTTGAGCTACCCGCAGCAAACTGGGGAGCTTTAGATTGTTTTCATCGCCTTTCTTCTGGCACCCGCCCACTCCCACTCTTTCTCGTTACTTGTTTTACGATTTTACTTGTATTTATTTTTCATGATTTTCTTTTCGGTATTTGGTTGGTATGTGGTTAACTTTGATTCATATATCGTCTATGATTGATCGATCTTTTGCGTTATTTGAATGATACGTAGCCACTATTTGATGTTTCAGGATTTGATGGATGCATCGTCAATATTTAATCGGTATGTTATATATGATATATCAACATTTGATCGATATATCGTATTTGCTCTTAATTTGTAAAATGATTGTTTTGTTCAATATACGCACAAAAACTTTAGCTACATTATGTTCATATTTTGGAGAGGGGATAGGGGTTATATCAGTAATGAACTATTACTAATAGATTTTGTCTTTTAGGTGAGTCAAATTTGATATCAAACACTTATAATTAAAGATGAATAGTGTTAGTGATATTTTTGACATATACATGTACAAACTTATTTCGACCATAAAAGAGTATGATTCGGTCCAAACTTCACTTCTTTTTGTGTTTTTAACATATCAACATTATACTACTCTAGCATATAGGTACTTAAACTCGAGCGCAAGTGAGAGAGAGCAATCAAATCCAAGCGATACTTTTCTATTTAGTACAATTGTACAAATAGGAGGTGCATTCAATGCTTTGGACCACTTTTTTATTTTTTGAGAATTTTAACGAAAAACTCATGGTACTATTTATTTTAACGAAAAATCATATTTTTACACTAAAAAGTCGATCCTGGTACCATTTACTTTACCCATTATTTTGTCTTTATCGTTAAAACTAAAAGTTTTCAAACATTTTCTTAATTTTTTTTAATTGTTGACAACAGAACATAAGCCTCAAAAATAAAAAATAAAAATTACATAAAAATATTACGAAGCCACGACACTTGACTTTATCTGCAATTATTAATTGACGACAAAAAAAAAAGAAAAAAAAAAGCTTACTAAAAAAAATGGATCACCTATCTTTATCTTGCTTCCACGCTTTTACTAAGAATTTATGAAATGTGAAGAATACCAAGAGTTAACCTTTACAAATCTTCACTCCGTCTTGCAAAAACCATTCGGATTTTGATTATGTGATCCAGTCAACAACGTGGCTCGGGCCAGATATGAACATTTGATTCATGAACCGAGGATTGCTCGTTTTAAATAATTTTGGGTCGAAGGCAGGCAGGGATTGATGGGCACTCGATTTGAATACGGGTTTTATTTAACGGAGCCCACGATCTTGAGACTCGAAGCTTTGATACGATCTTGAGTCTCGCATTTTGTCGCTATTAAGGCAGGGTCACCAAATCAGATTTCAATATTCAAAATAATTAAAAATGAAAACGAAATAGTTATTAAACGCCTCCTCACTCTTCGTTGAAAACTGTATTTTAATTCTAACTTTTTGTTTTTTAGTTTTCTTTTGTTTGAAAATTAAAAGTAGCTACAAAAAATATTTAATTTTTTGATTTTCAAATAATGAAAAATAAAAGTAACTTAAAACGAAATAGTTATTAAACTCCTTCTAACCATATAATTAGTTGAATTAGTCTTGAACTGTGACACAACACTTAATTATATGGTTAATTTGGAGACTATATGATATGCACTAATAGACAACCCTGTCCAAAATCATCATGACGTAAGGTTGGTTAACCCCTTGACCGACCTATTAATAAACATTGATAATGTCCTTAACATTAGGTTACGTATGGATAACTATCTAATTTTTATATGTGATTCTAGATTGGTTTTAACATTTTAAAACATTTCAAGTTACTATTTAACATAAGAAAATGAACGCTCGTCGGGTAACCAGCTTTAAATGATGATGCCATTACCATGAATGGATAATGTCCTTAATTCAAGTTATAAGGTGGACAAAAATGGAAGCTGATTTTACTAACACATTATTTTGGAGTTTTTGGATCCCCAAACAGACTCCTCTTGGTCAAGATAAACGCTAAATATGTATACGGTTCTAGAGCTCAAGACTAAATTGTAGTAATGGTCCATTGATGTTAACTCAATTAGA